ACTCCATAGTTTTTAACAAGTATATATATTATTTTTTCATAGCCCTTCTACTCTTACAACCAACAACAATGAATGCAACATAATTAACGTCTATATTGTTGCTGTAAATGCTTGAACATTTTGTAATGTAACTCATGGATGTTATTAGTACTAAAAAGATGAACAAAGCAAACTTACTTAAATATCCAGTGTGTAAATAGAGAATACAAGTTATACAGACAAGGATCAATTGTTGCAATCAATTACTTAGTTGAGATTGCTTCAAAGAAAATATAAATTTTTCTACCTATTTATTCACTGGTTTGTTGACTTTAAGTTGAGCCTGGAAGTCAGATTAAGCTGCAGAGTATATATTTTTACATTATATCATATATATATATATTATGTTACATGCTGTTTTCATTGCCGTGAGTGTAAATTAAAGAACTTATGATTGATGAATGGTCTTTTTCAGTATGAGTGCCACAGCATGCATTGTGTATTGACATACAGTGGATAGATTTCCAGCTGTAATACTTCAGAATCGCGTTTGATTCCTAACAAGGTTTGACGGTGATATGAGTACTGTTAAGTAGGGTAAAGTATTAACAACACTTCTACTAAAGCTATCAAAAATATAAATACTTTATTCGAACTAATGAGAAAAGGGCAGTGCCCTATAGAAGCCACTAGGTGGCAGCACTGCACTAAACTAGCAAAGGTGTACTATGGCAGCAAAGCCTTGAATGAATCCATGAATGTGTTTTGTATTGTGCCAAGAAAACTTTATTTAGAGAAAATTTGTTGTCAACAATTAGCACCAGTTTATAATATGAGTGATAGCGCACCCTACTGAACTTTTTTCTTATGCTTTGAGGAACACTACAAGCACCATAACCACTACATATACCTGAAGTGGTTATGGTGCCAGGGGTGCCCTGGTGTCATCCCGTGGCAAGTAGGTAAAATGTTTTAGACCAGTTTAACAACTTACCTGGATCTCTTGTTCAGGTTTGCATTATAGCACAAATTCAGCCAATTAGAAATAACACATAGTGAAATCAAGTTTATGTTTCAATGTTTTTTTTTTACTATATATTTGTATTGTCAGCTTGTGTAGAAAAAATATTTATGTAACAGAGGACTAAATGTAATTAAATTTATTTCCAATATTAGAAAATCAGGTGAGAATTCAAAGTGGATTTCAAATTTAAGTCCAACGTACCCTATAGCTGACTAAGAGAATGTTTCCAATTTGGCTATTTTTACCTTGAATTTGAAATTGGCTTTTCATTTTCACTTTATCGAATAACCTTGAATGTGTTTGCTTGACCTGCATGATGTAAAATGTACCCTGTAGTCTGAGTACTGCATCCATGCTTTACAAAGTAATCAGAAATATTGTCTATTGATAAAGGTTGTGGTTTAAAATTCAGGACACTAGTCAAGTCAACTGCTGCTTCCAAGAAAGTTAAAATCTCATTAATTTATTACATATGATATTAAAACAGTGACGGAAATTCAAATGCATAAATGTAGAAAAAACAACAACAAAACAGCTGAAACCCTCTGGGCAGACAGCAATATCTAGAGAGCCCAGGTTGTTACTGCGTCATAGACTCAAACTGTTTGTCACTGCTCATTCTGCCATGCTGTAAAGCCTCTATAAACCCTCAAGCCTCAGTCTATGCTGTCATACAATCTCTTCTTTAAGGAACCTACCTAATTAAAAATGGAGCCACCACTCTGTTAATGACAGCAGGGCTGTACATTGCTGCTGCTGATAAATAAATAGGGTAGCCCTAGCTGGCTCAAGGACTTTAGAAGAACTCACGAATATTAAGACAAAGTGTAACATATGGCACTTAAGAGGTTAACGTATCAGTGGCTCAATGGAAGATCACATATCCCACTTGCCTTCTTATCTTTGAGCATAGCTGATTACTGTCTGGCTGGAAGGCTTTCCTTTTAGACAGTACCAACCATTGGTTTAGGGTCTTTATAGGGTGGGTTTGGCTGTCTGGGAGTGATGAGAGCAGCAGTCATCCTTTTTTTCTTTATATATATATATATATATATGTATGATTTAACTCATGCTGCAATTCATGCATATACTTTTTTTTAACTTTCTTTGAACAAATATTTTTCTATGTTAGATTTTAACAGGATTAATATAAACAGATATACACTGTGATTTATTTTCAAGACATTCTCTGAAACAGTACTATATACAAACCTACTTCCTAATTAATCCCAAAAAATAAACAAGGATAAAACATCTTAGCAAATTATTTTTTTAGACCATTTTAAAGGAGAACTCCACAAACCTTAACACTTTAGCTCGCTGAGGTGTTTTATGTGTGAAGATGCGAGTCCTGTTTTTTTTCATTTTACAAAAGTGCAGATTTCAACAGAAATTGCCACTTTTATAAATTAACCTGGTTACATCCACCTGGCTGTCAATCAGACAACTGACCCTGTTACTTTTTGGTTATTTAGCTCAGTGGAGCTAAACTCAAGAGGCAGATAATTGCCTTGCAAATTCTTCTCATTGAGCTGCATTTAAAATATCAAAGAGAATATGTGAATAATGCTGCCTCTAATGGTGGTCCAGACGTACAATTGCCCAGGCTTGTTAATTATCCTGTGCTGTCGTACCACCTCATACGATGGGATATGTAAGATTACTTGGCCAATCACGTCTGACTGTGTATCACATCTGACTGTGTGGGTAAATTTTGATTTCTTGTTATTGCTGCCTGTACTAACTTATAGTAATTGTCTTGTACTAAAAATGGCAAATATTTGCTTAAAAGGAAACTGTAGGCTAGGAATTCAAAATTGTATTCCTAGCACTATAGTACCCCTTAGTGCTCCCCTCGCTCACGCCCCTCCCCCCAGCAGCGCAGAAAGTTTTGTCTCTTAACTTGAATCTAGCGCCAATATCCCTCTGTGCTGGTTCAGGTTTCACCTCCGCACTTCCACCCCCGACGCCAAGGACCTAATGCACATATGCGTCGAGCGACACGCTCACAGTAGGACAGCCCCATAGGAATACATTAAATCAGTGCTTTCCTATGGGGTTTTAGTTGATGCTGGATGTCCTCATGCATAGCAAGATAGCAGGAAAAAAAATAGCTTATTTGTAAAATGTAGGCCAAAATAGTCAACTTAGAAAAAAAAAAAAACCTAGCTCGGTCCTGGAGAAATTAAATTCTTTGGACTACATTTGGCAAGGCATCATGAAACACTGTATAGCGACAAAAACATTAGAATTGTTTATTTTGGTTGAGTAAGTGATTCATACCAAAACACAGCATAAAAACCTCAACACTCTTTTCACGGTGATTTCGTTTTTGGTAATGACACATTAACACATGGCGCTATTGACAAAAAGATTAGAGGAGCAAGCAATAGCCGGGTAAATCCTGCAGGGAATGCTGTTCATAGTGATTGTGCAGTCAGTTTTCCTGTAAACTAGTTCTGTCGTGTGCAAATGCTAGGGAACCATATTGGCCTGCATAGCATCTCAGGAGGTACGCATCCACACTTGAAAAAGAGGCTTTAAAGTCCCGAAAAGATGCATTGTCTTCTGATATATCCATTAGACATAATACCTTTATGTCATTTAGTGGTGTCTTCAAAAAGTGCTTCTACTCCCATCCATTCCACGTCTAACAAGACAAATTCCATTCTGGTAAATAGACCAGTGGTGGCTGGTGAAATTTGAAGATAGCGTGGTGCTGTCCCCTGAATTAATCGCATGTACTACAGATACACGTGTTTGAAACACCAAAACCACTTAAGAGAAGTTTGACTCCATTCCGTGATGCTGTTATGGGAATGACAGAGGTGCAGATCTACAGTTATCTTACCACCAGACCACCAGGGCATTCACACACACAACATCCCTGACACAAACAGTACATCCCATATACACACTATGTATCATCTACACAAACACCATCATCTCCAGACAGCAATAAACGGGAAGGAAACTTCAGATTACAACGTTCTAACACAAGTATATCAGTTCTCTCCGTTAGTTGATTTCCTTTTTTTTTTTCTAAAACTGGATGTGGTTGCAGCCCCTTGCGCCTTATCGAATGGACCACAATCTGCCAATGGATAGATGGTAAGACAGCCAAACATAATTTATGTTCTTTTACATTACATGACAACATTCTTTCACTTTTCAGTACTTGTATGATCTTTGCACTCAGTACAGCCGTTTTCTTTCCCTTTCACATCGCCTGTGTGTAATTATTCACTGATGACAATGGGGCGTGTTCGTGTGTTGTCCATCCAAGTTATGTGTGCAGTACCGTTTATAAGGATGGAATACACCATTGTGACCTAGGTTTGACAAAAACACTGTATCTGCAAAATATGTCTGGGTCCAATTTACCAGATACTGAAACAAAATTCACACAGTGAATTACTGATGTTTCTGAGCCTTCATATTTGCAGACAGGATGGGTGGGGGGGACAGACAGACATATAATGGGATAAACATAAATTGCATAAACAACAAATTCAGACAATTAACACTCCAACATAAAGATGATATCATTAATCAGCATTTGTATTTATTTTACAAATACCCCATCCTATTGATAAAATGCAGTTTGCACAGTGAACACTATATGTTTGCTCTCTGCTAATAGAGAGAGGCAGTGTGTACTTGGTAAAGGTAAACACACTAAAAAAATGGATTACCAGACATACAAGAAAATCTTCACTTGGGGGCTGTGAAAAATGAACTGCATTAATGTTTAGCAACTCTGAGTTGCCGCTTGCTGCCTATTGCTTTTCTGAGGAAGATATAAAATGTATCAATAAACAGAAAGCCGTTGACACAAACAGACAAAGTGCAATAAACAGAGAAGGGGGAGCATGCTCAGAAAGGTGCTAGGTGGGAAAGGGGGGCTGAGGGGTGGGATGACGTGAGAGGGTGGACCTGTGTTGACGTCATGGGTATTAATATCTCCAGCATAGCACATAAAAACTCCAAACTGATCATTCACCCATCTCTATTGCACTGAACACAGCACTGTCTGACATTTACTGGAGAAAAGAGTGAATTCATTTGGGAGCAACATGAGTAAAATTGTTACATTCTGTCTAGGACTGATCCTGCTGACTGTAATGTTACCTGACCAGGTGAGTTTATATGGGCAGAAGGAAAAGTTTCTCTCTTACTAGAAAGAGTGAGCTAAAATGATATGGCAATCTCTAACCTTTTGTAAAATCAGGTATTTTATTCTTAAACAATTGCATTACATAAATATGAAAACAGGTATGTATGTGGTCTAGAATAATCACAGTGATATATGGGAGATTCGAATTATAATACAGGTCAAAAATTGCTGAGAGACCTAAAGCAGGAGAACAATAGCCTTTTATGTATAAATGTGTATACTTTTTGGACACTCTACATTTATAATGTTCTTTGTGTGGTTTTTTTTTGTGTGTGTTTTTTTTTTTTATTTGTAGCACAGTATGTACACAATATATAGGGAATCCCAGAAATCGAAAGATAGATAGATAGATAAATAGATAAAACGAAATAAAAGTTTACTTGAATGTTCTTTGTACTGTCATTGTATTTAAGCCTTTTTTTTTTTTTTAAAGTGATACCAACGGGGATTATTCACTAAATTGAGAAACTGTTTAGCATTAACCATTACATTTTTATAAAAAGAAAAGAAAAAAAAAAGCTGAACAAATAAGAAATTTGTCAAATTGACCATTACCAGTTTAAAGTCTTAGTGTTTGGGATACACCTTGGTTTACTGGAGAGGGAGGTGGGGGTTTACTGGATGGGGAGGTGGGGGGGAGAACCCACCCTGTATCCATCACCACATCCCATCCATAAGCTGCGTAATGCAAGTGGTTTTCACCAGTGTGCTGTGGTACAAGGGTGCGTCTCAAAGTGTGCCTTAAACACATAGACCTCAAGGCTGTGATAGGTTGGATTCAGTCCTTAAATGTTTTAGAATGTGTTTGTCAGAAAAATAGCTGTGTCTTGGGAACTGTTTTCCCACTGAAGTGTGCCTTGGTACAAAAAATATTAGGAACCAGTACTGTATGTTAACACTGTTTGTAATGTTTATGCTGTGCAGTGTTAATTTATGTTGATCTACTTCTAAATGTAATAAACTTTGATTACCAAAAACATAAAAATAAAAAGGACTCAACGCATATAGACATATAAGTTGGTGCTGAACATATTTTAGATTGTTTATGAAAACCCAAACTGCATTTGCATGCTGACTACATTTAAATCATGCTGAGCAGCATGGGATATGTAGTTCACATACATCTAGGGTGCCAAAGTTAATCATCACTGATATTTTATTATGAAATTGTATAGAATAAATGTGAGCCTAATCAGGGAAAATACACTTTTTTTTTTTTTTAAGCAAACTAGAGATTTATAAAAATAATGAATCGCAGAAGCTATTGACTTGATAAAAGGAGCAAATAAGAACCACAATGTAATAAAAAGTATAATATTTTTAAATTCTTATTTTAATACCATGGACAGTACTTTAAGGATTAATTGTTTCCTGTTGTATAATGTTTGTCAATATAGATTGTCTGCGGGGCTGAAATGTATACCAGTCATGTAAACAAGGATGCCTTTTAAACTAAAAGGTACATTTTGATTAGAAAAAAAATGCTGATATACAGGCCAAAAAAATTTAAAATGTGAAGCAATCACAGCATAAAAGAATTAAACACGAATTCACAAAAAAAAACAAAAAAACTTATACCCTTTTCTTTTAAACATGAATAAATAAAGGTATTTAATAAATAAAGTTTAGCTTTCCATGAAACGTTTATAGAAGAGGAAACACAGATCTTTCTTGGGCTCTCTCTCCTTTAAAGATAGGGTTTGCAGGTATATTGTGAAATTTCCATAGACGGAAAGCTCCATTGCAAAGCTCTGTAATTAGAGAATAGGCATATATCTGTACCTCCCGGTTTTATTAAAAGTCAGAGCTCAAGGCTCTCAGGTGGCATTAACTAGTTGGGCACCGGACATGCAAGTGGTACTACTTCTGCTTGATAAGAAATAAGATAGTTTAATTTAGTTTTGATAAGAGACACTGTATGGGAGGTTAGACAGAGAGATTGAAAGACAGACAGACAAACATATATCAAATAACAGAGACAGAAGGCGACAATAAGACAGATATATGTGTAATGCAGACTGATACGGACGTGTCAAGTGAAAAAAACCTATATTATGATTTTTACTTTACATTATAAATGCAAACTATTAATGGGCAGCGCTATTATTTGATATTTACAAAACTATTGATGACGGGTGAACACACACTTGTGTATTGATCTTCAGTCTCTAGATTAGGTGTTTTTGAAATTTCAGCCAGAAAACCAAGGCTACAAAATCAAGTTCTGATATTTTGTGAACACACTTAAAAGTAATCCAAATGGAATTACTCAAATTCAGCTAATATAGTTTAATATATACCCACATTTCCTAAAAATATGAATGTTTGATTTTTTTGTTGTTGCTGTTTTGACAAATCTCTAGTGTAAACTTTAAATATATGTGGATGTGTTTAAAACCTGGTTCAAACTAAATGTAGGATGTAGATACAATAGTAGCAGTTTTGGAACTTTGCACGTTAGTGATTGTTGGTGATAGTTTAAAAACAGCATATTGGTCTATTCCTTACATGTAAGAAGGACTTCCGCACTTTACAGTTAGCGCTGGGAACCAACATGTTAACACTAACCTTCTTCTACAATTTATTTCATTCTGAATGTGTTTTTGAATCTACTAATTTATTCTTCTTATTTATTTTTTCTTGTTTCAGGTGCACTGTCAGTCTACTATAGCAAAGCCCAATGCTTCAGATTCATCAACGGCAAACAGTACACATGTATCAAATACCAGTGGCGTATCACCTGTTACAACCTCGACGAACACTACTACAGCTCGTTCTCACGGAGATTCTTTGTATGCATCTTCTAGCCTGTTCCTCAGCCTCGTCTCGATCTCTGTTATACATCTCTACTGTTAAAGGACCGTATCCTAAAGGCAGCTTTAGCACTCTCCCCCATCCAACCACTGCTCTTATCTGCTCTCTCTGACCAGGCTACCACACACGTCATTGAGGAACATTAACAAACACTGGCACCAAATATTTTTTTATTGCCCAGAAAGTGTCCTCCGCAACCAATCCTGACCGAGAGACTAATAAACTGAAGCCTCCTAGGCTGAATGATGTGACTAGGCTCTCAACCACATCAGGAAAGTGAAGGAGGGCCCCAGTGGCAAGTGAATCAAGAAATCAATTT